AAAGTTTCCTATAAAGAATAAAGTATGTTTCCAGTAAACATGGTGACTCTTTACTATTGACAGTGGTTAATACATATCAGAACAGAGTGCACCGTTTCCTGTTTTTCTTTGCAGAGGCCTCACTCTGGAATTCCCCTTCTTTGCCCATGATATAAATCTTATGTGTATCTCAAACACTTAATCAGCACACTAAAAAAGTGTGTTATTCCTTAAATGCCCACATTGTGCCTGAAAAATATTACATTTTTATATTTTAGAATATTTAATTACCCATAGAACCTAGGTTTTTGATTCATTAAGAATGTTATAATAGAAGTCTAAAGAACACCTCAATCTGTGTCTGGATCCATCCTTCCTACCTTCTCTGGAACCTTATAAAATTGAAAATCCTTTCTGTTTACTTTCAGTTTTTCTTTTTCCTTCTTTCTTTTTCTTTACCTCTTTTACTGGATCTTTCCAATCAGAAATTAAGCATAATCAAGCCTCTCCTATCTTAAGGGGAAAAAAATTCAGTTTTTCCGCATTTCCTATTCTCCATTCAACTTCTGCCCTGTCTTCTTCCTGTCCAGAAGGCCAGACTTCTCTCCAGAGTTGTCTGTGTTCTTTTTCTCCTTTTTTTTTTTTAACCACCTAGGTTCTCCTCAGTCCCCTCTGATGTGTCTTCTGTGCCTGTTACTCCCCTGACACAGCAGTCACCAAGTTGCCTAGGGACTTCATGTTGCTAAATCCAGTGAGCAGAGTTCAGTCCTTAATTGACCACCTTCCAACTCTGTTGCCTGTTGCTCCTTGACACTTTCAGTACACACTGCTGATTTTCCTACTGACTTTCAGGCTGTGTCTTTTCATCTCCTTTGATGGCTTTTCCTCTTCTATCCAATCTCAGAAAATTAGAGTTTCTCTATGAACTTATCCTCTAGGAAGTCTTATAAACTCAGCTTTGTTATGCTGGCGTTGCTCAATCTCTTATCTCTAGTTTTAGCCTCTTTCAAAACCCTATATCTGTACTTGTGTATCTGTCTGTCCTCTTGGTAGCTCTACTTGGATACCTTCAAATTCATTGTGTCTCAAACTGAATCTTTCACCTTCTTCCTAAAACCTGGTCCTCTTCCAGTATTATCTAACCCAGTGAATTGTACATACTCTTTTTAAATCTGAAAGCTGTGTATATTTTCTTAACTCCCACCTCTCCCTCAATTCCCAAATCCAGCCAACAACCAAATACTATTGATTTTATCTACTGAATACCTCTTGAATATGACCACTTCTTTCCATCTTTGCTGCTGTTAGTTGAATCCAAGTGATCCCCTTTTCACCATCATAACTATAATAACTTCTCCTTTTGGCCTCCTCCAAACTGCTTTCCACCTGTAGCTATTGTGTAGTAGCCTTTTAAATCCATTTGATCATGTCATTCCTCTACTTTAAAACCCTTTCAGTTATTTCCCATTGTTCTTGGGAGGATACACACTTCAGTTCTTTACATGTGTACAAACCCTGTGTGCTCTGGTTCTAGATTATCTTACCATTTTCATCTTAGGTCTTTCTACTCTTTACTGTTCTCTAGCAACACAGTGCTCCTTCCAGCCTTAAGGAGGAAAGGACTGAAAGCTTCTGCTTTCATATCTCAAGAGCAAGGTTAGAATAGATGGCATGAAGAAACCTTTCAGTATAAAGTCTGACTCCCAGCTCAGCAAAGTTCAAGTTGAAAATTATTCACTGTTTTCAGGTTTATAAATTAGTTATCTAATAACACGGTCACTAGGATAGTAGTAAGCTCGAGTCTTCCCGTCCTTTGGTTTTCAGTGTGAGAGTAGCTTCTTGGAACCAGTTTAGTTATCTGCTTTTTTGACATACCCCCTCAGTAATCATAACGTTTGCTATATGATTTGTGGTGTGTGTTAATAATACTCCTCTTTCACAAGCATATCCACTCATTCCTTCTTTCAGGAAACATTTCTGAGTGAGATGGCTGGTGGCCTGAGCATACCATAGTGACTCTTCTCCTCCACCATTGTCCTGTAGTAACTTAACTGTTAGAATAAATCACTTGAAGTGGAGGTGTGGCTGCACGTAGCCTTCTGCTAAGCCTTCCAGGGGAAATGATGCAAATTTGGAATTGGTAGAAGGTGTTTCTTCATGTTCACAGGGCAAGGGCTGATCAAGATTCGGCCTGGACGTAGGTCTCATTCTCCAAAATATGCCAGCTCCTCCCCTGCTTGAGAGGGCCCTCCGGCTGAGCCAAGTAGCACTGTCTGCATATCAGAAGCAGTTGTCCCTGCATGTTGATTACACAAGGCCTTGGGAAAAGTCTGCAGTCCTTCAGATGCCACTGTCCCATGCTATCCTTTTTCTTTAACTGGAGGTGTCTGTCCTTTTCTGGAGTGTGCCAACAACATGGAAACCCCCCTTTCTAACCTTCAGTCAAGGGGCTTACTGGGGAAGAAACCCCATGTCCTGCCCAGGTCCTGGGAAAGTGTATGTCCTATGATGGTGAAGATACATTTGGATGTGTCTGGACAAACAGCTTCCTAACAAAGCAAATTTAATGGAAATATAATAGTATATTATCAAGAAGGAAAAAAAGGCACAAAATAGTAATTAGCATCTTTTTTTCTCTGCCTTAATCCTTAAAAAGAGAAGCTAGCATTGTTTCTTCAGGCTCATTTGAGAATTTAAGCTTTATCATCCCAAACAAGAATAGTATGAAGGGAAGTGTATGTTGAATGTGGTGCGTGGGAATAGACAAACTGAGAGTCTGGGGAAAAGATGGGAAACATAGTGGAAGAGACCAGTGTGTTGCTGGCTTGCAGCATCCTAGATCACAGAAGAGCTGTAGGATGTCAGGTCTGTGGGTAGGAGCATGGAGTCTTTAATATAAAGCACCCCTAAGAGCACCTGAAGCAGCAATATGCAAGAAAAAGATAGCAGGAAACCAGTGCATTGTGCTAAGAAATAGATTAAAAAACATAGACATAGGATCTGGACCATTTTAACCTGAAAGTTTTATATGATCCTGTGGAACAGGACCCCCAAAAGATAGTTTGAATTTCTTACCAACTAAAAAAAGGTCTTGAAGTAACTAAATTTAGAGAAATAAAGACATGAGAGTATTCTGCTCCCTAGTGTTATAATTTGTACAGTCAAACATCTTAAGGGAAAAAACGAAAACCTATACTACAAATTCTCTGAGATTTAAAAATATTGTAATGACATCTCATAACAAAGAGTTCCTGTAAAGTAACCATAGTAGAAAAATAAAATAATGTGGCTACTACTAAAAAAGTTACTGATTTAGAGCTATCTGCATACTACTACTTGCAGGCCAGATCAAGCCTGCCACCTGTTTTTTAAATAAATTTTTCCTGGAACTCAGCTACACTCATTTGCTTATGTATTATCTGTACCTGCTTTTATACTACAACGGCAGGGTTCAGTTAAAGCTACGATGGAGACTGTATTGGCATGCAAGCTTAAAATATTTACTCTCTGATTTTTAGGAAAAAGTTTCTGGACTCCCAAATAGGATCAAGCGAAGTTATTTTCCAATACAGTGAAATTATAAAGAGAAATGAAAATATAAGAAATAATACACACAGAAACACACACATTCGAATGTCTATATATCAGGAGCTCTAGAAATAGGAAAAAGGAACACATGGAGCAGTATCAAAGAAATAGTAGAAGAACACTTTTCTAAGATACAGAATACCAGTGTTCAGATAGAGGGATCACCACGTGTCACGCAGTATTACTGGAAGGAAAACCCAACAATGTCATTGCTGAACTCTGAGGGTGAAGGACATACATATTTCAAAAGAATAGTATCAGGCTTCTTCTGGGCCTCTAATCTGCAACAATAAAAGCTAGAAGACAGTAAAACAGTGCATATATCAACTTCTAAAATATGTGTGTGAACTAACTCTCCGTTTCTGTGGTTTTATGGAAAATCATGTTCTGACCCTTAGGAGCTGTGACATGGGACTGTCCTGATAAAATTCTAGGATTTATCAGGATCATGTCAACACTTCAACAGATGTTGACATAAAAATATTATGTTCAAAGACAGCCTAATCGAAAAAGTTTATAACTTGCTTTGGTTTGGAGGCAGGCTGCAGTTTCTGTGCTGCTGAAAGGGAAGCCATCTGGGTTAAGCAGAGTTGGTATTAGGTCCCTAACCCAACTGTGCCAGTGGCCCCTCCGCTGAGGTGGGAGCAAGAACTCCAACTGGTGACTAAAGTTACTGGGAAATAGGGTTCCGCACCTTGCAAGAAGTGGTTGTCGGAAATTAGGGAGAGCCAGTAAGCCCCAGCCTCATTGACTGAGTTTGGAGAGAGTTTCATTCCCAGCCAGAATAGACCAGAAAACAGTGAATGGACTAGGAGAGCACCTTGCAAGAAGTGGTTGTCGGAAATTAGGGAGAGCCAGTAAGCCCCAGCCTCATTGAGTTTGGAGAGAGTTTCATTCCCAGCCAGAATAGACCAGAAAACAGTGAATGGACTAGGACCAAATCTCCCACCCACAAGACAGCCAAATGACAGAATCATAATCATTCTAGCATGGAAAGGTAGTTAGGTATAATCTAGTAATAACCATCAAAATATAATCAGTTTGTTAATGATGAAAGCTAGAAAGTAATATTTAAAATTAGAGTGTGTGCTCAAGTCACACTGTGGTCTTTGCTAACAATAATGGTGACTGATGATACTTCTATATTTGTCTCATTTTTAAAAAAGAATAAAACTTAAATGGTTATATGTGGATGGCCAAAGCAAGACCAAATATCTACTAAGTTCTAAATAATCTATTACTTTGCTTTACTAATCATTTTTTGTGCATATATTTCTCTTGAGTTCATCATAAGAGGTAATTGTGGTGGTCTAAGAGGCATTTTTGTATCCTAGGCAAATTTATTATATTATTAAACAAAGTCATTTATCTATAGTATATAAGTTTTTTGTTAATAAGATCATTTTCTCAACACATTCTTTCCCATATTTTAGAAAAGGCGACGACGGATTGACCGAAGTATGATTGGAGAGCCAACAAACTTTGTACACACGGCTCATGTAGGATCAGGAGACCTGTTCAGTGGAATGAATTCAGTAAGTATGATGCCGGAATACATACAGCCTTGGGGCATGGTCATGTGAAACCTGTGTGACTGGTACATAGGTTTTTAATAACAGTGTGCTAAATGAATTTGTAGACGCTGAATATAAATACATAATGTGAGCATAGAAGAGAGAAGAAAACGAAGGATGAAAAATTAATCTCTCCTCTAATTTGTCAAGTTATGTATTTGTTTCTATTTCTTGTACTAAACTCTTCATGGCTGCATTTCTCTTGAATAAATACTTTAAGGATTTGAGTTAAGAATAGAGGTTAATATCCCATTTATTCTCATGCTCCCACCAAAGGGACTTGGAGATCAGCCTTTTAATGTGTAATCTCTTTTTGTTCTCTTAAGATCAGTTGGTTGCCTCTTGCAAACATTTTTATTGCATTTTCTTTATAAAATATTAGCCTTTATCTGATATTAGAATGTTCGTGATTTATTTATTTACTATAAAATAAGTTCTTGGGCACTAAGCAGAGGATTAGAATTTGCATCTCTTTTGGGCAGCAAGAAATTGTCATATTTGGCAGTAGGAAATGAATAACCATAAATAACGAAGATCAGTTGGGTGTCTTTTATAGAGGTTTCAGTGAACTTCAGAATAGACTTTAGATTTACACAACTGAATTCTTCTATTCCTTAATTTTCACCTGAGAGAAAGGCAGAATGTAGTACAATAGAAGAAGCACCAAATGAGGGTTCTAATGGGGCTCTGCCTCACTTGTACACTTAAGCAAGCCACTAAGTGTTAAGGGCCTCTTTTCTCTATGACTCAAGTAAATAGGTGTTAGATGATCCCTAACGTGTTCAGAACCGGAAAGTCAATAAGGTTTTATACACATGAAGTTATGATTCTGATTTACTGGAGCATTAACAAGATTTAACAAGAGAACAGGGACTTTAAAATAGAATGAGTATCCTGGATACAGTGAACACCTTTGTCACTTGTTACTAGGTAAAGGAATGACATTTGTTGTTTCCTAGAAACAGTTTCTTTGTTTTAAATTTATAGGAAAAGTAATTTGTTTCACTTGTCTGCTTTTGTGGAAATGTAAGATATATCATACTGCTGTCAAAATAGATTCAGTAGCTTTTTCCAGGATCAACACATCATGAAAGACCAAAGGGACCCTATTGCTTTTTTAGTTCATGGTATTTGTTAACCTTTTAAATCTTGTTTATGGACATTTCAGAATTTCCTTTAAGATTGCTCCCTGGCATTTCTGTCTCAATGAAAATCCTGTCATTGGTAAAATTAACTTTTTTGCTTGCCATAAACTTAGGAAGAACTTTAGGACTGTACTTCGCAGAGCTTCCAAGCCTGCCTCTTCAGTTTAGATGTATGTCAAGGTGGGACCTCAGCGATTGTACGGGTTCTACCCTAAAGTCTCTACCAACCTTTTCTGCAACTGAAGTCGATTTTTTTATGAAGTATTTAAGCTTAAAACCAAACGTGTCTCCCGAAGGTTTTTTGTAGTCATTTCATATATGAGTTCGTTGTCTCTAAGTGATAATCACCATCCCACCCCCACAGAGCACTGAGTTCCTGCTATTAGCAAGGGCATTGTTCCATCAGTATGTTTCCTGAAAGTATCATTGATAGTTCTAACTTGTATAAGCCTGACTCAGAGAGATGTTCTCCTATATAATAATAGTGCAAATAAGACAAAAACATAAATACATATGCTGCTGTTTATCCAAATAAATATTTTCTCGTCTATTGTAAGAACTGAGCAGCTAGTGTTATGAACATGGCTTGATGCATGTTCATGGATTATTGAATTGTCAAATGACTTGTATTTTCTTTTTTCCCTGAAATATGTTGTTCTTCCCAAGACTACCTTTTATACTAACTCCTTGCCAGAAAAAATTTCTGTGAACTTTTCAGTAATATAACCCTATTGTGTTAAAATATTGTATATCCACAGTTACAATAATATGTTCAGTCTCAACACTGGCAGGTTATGAGAGAATCCAGATCCTCTAGTTCAAAATTGAGTAATTGACTTTTGGAGGAAAAATACTTTTTCTTTCTTAGAATCTGCATGGCACTATGAATACACAATGTAAAACATAAAGATCTTTTAAAATTAGGCCTAAAATATCTACAAAAGCTAATGTGCTGTGTTAGGTAGGAAAGTACTTGGTATCAGGGCTGAAATCAAGTCTGTGCCTCAGAATGTGATGTTAGCTACTATAAAGGGGCAGATAAGGAATTTGGACTAATGTCATATGGCAGGCCATAGTCTCCTCAGACTGCATCAACTGAGCAAGTTTACTCAAAACTAATAGGCCTATGGATTTTCATTTCTTTTTCTTACACTCTTACCTAAAGTAGTCATTTGATTAATGTGAATACAGATATTATAATAACACTTTATTATGTGATATCATTGGAGTAAGATGTTCCATATAAGTAAATTTTTTGGATCAGTAAAAATGAACCCATTTAAGAGCCAAATACATTTTCTCACTTAAGCCCTTTTGATTTAAATAAGCTATGCATTATATATTTTGCTATTCTCTTCTCTTAGTATATATTTAAACCTGCCTTACTGCAAAAATAAATTAGCCAAGTCTTGTTACTTTCTTTAAACATAGTATATTGATGCAGGATCACCAATGAAAAAGCACCTTGCAAATATAAAAGTAATACTTTATATTATTATGAGCGCTTGGTAAGTATTTCATAAGTAGATTAATGAATGGATGGTGCCTCAGTTGTGTCCCCCCTCCTGCCCTGCCCCCCAATTGTGGAAGTATGAAGGGCCCTTGGAGCTTATTCCATATGATCCTCGATCAGACCACAGGTGATCTGACTTTCTTCACTGTTAAGCCATCACTTCCAAAATCTTATTGCTTGTTTTTCTTTTTCTAGAAATCTAGCCTGACTCTCTAATTCTCTGCTTCCATACAGCTTCTGATATATATGAACTAAGATTGTCCATAATGATACACTAAAGCACGTCATAGTTTGCAAATGACTTTATGTACCATTGTTTCAGCAAATTAAGAAAATACCCCAGCATTTATATATCTTACAGTCTATCAGAAAATAGCCCTATAATGTGGTTAGGAGAAATTATCATTTTAACCATTTTACAGATAGAAGCCTGATATTCAGAGAGGATAAATAGTTCATCCAGTTACAATATTAATAAATGAACCTGGAGTATAATTCATCTTGGATTCTTAGACTTTTTTACTTTATTAGACTATATTAAGACTGTAATTTTACCACATAGACTTTTAAGATTTATCTTTGGCTGGTCTGGTTTCATTTATGCTTATTTTCTTATTTCTGATTTTATTCTAAGTAATTGAGGTGATCATATACGTGAGGTGTCTATAAATTAAGATACTTGAGCTTGAGGAACAGAAAGTTGAGTTGAACTGTTTTTTTTTTTTCTTTTCCTTTTTGACAGCTGGCTGGTACAAGGATTGAACCCTGGACCTTGGTGTTATCAGAACCACTCTCTAACCAACTGAGCTAACTGGCCAGCCCTGTTTTTGACTGTTTTTGAAATGTTACCAAGTGCCTTATGAATTACAAAACTGACTTTTAATAATTGGGAAGTAATGAAAGTAGGGGGAAGTGTGGGCTGTTGCAAAAAATGTTTCAATTACTAGCCTCACCATTTGCTTTTGTAACCATAAAATTTTTAAGCCCATGAAAATGTATAGATTTTTGTTTTCCCTTTATAAAAGTGCCCTTCTGAAAAGAGCTACCCAGGAAATATTGGGAAAAGAATCAGTTAATTGCAGTGGACCTTGTTCCTGACTTCCATTTTGTTTTGTTCTCTTTTGTTTTAGGTTAGCTCTATTCAGAACCAAATGCAGTCCAAGGGAGGCTATGGAGGAGGAATGTCTGCCAATGTGCAGATGCAGCTCGTGGATACGAAGGCAGGATAGCCCTGGGTCCCTTCTCCAGTGAGTACCTCAGAGCTGGGGGCACGGACCTCAAGGCCAGACATGGCCAACAAACTGACTCCACAGACAGCCTTAATTAAGCCTTGGGGTTAAAAAACTATGTTTTGTTGTCTTATTATTTTTTTAAGTTGTGAATTTACTGGGAGAGGCAAAAATATTTTACCTGGCAAAATGTTTCAAAGAATGGTCACAGGGAGTTACTACATTTGAATATGTTTTAGGTTATTCTTTTCCTTGTGAATAACTTTTAAGTGCTTTGAGACATCTGGTTGGGGAAGAGGTTTTGGTTGAGATTCTGGTGATAAGATGCTTATGTGTTCTGTAAACAAGAGCGAAATTATTACTTTGAGTATTGATACTGTAGGTAATCTCACAAGTAGTGGAGTAACTTTATAGTTAACACTTTATTATAAACTTTTCAAATAAAAAAAAAGACAACTTTTAAAAATGATGAACCCTGAAAGTATAAAAATAATTTTAATCTTTCTTTTGGTTTTATAGGTCATTGTGAATTTCTATTTTCTCTGTCCACTATTCTGTAATTTTTTTTTTTTTGTCTTGTGATTGCAGTTCTTTTAATTTTAATTATAAAAAAAGAAGTGTGATGGCATCTTGTCACTCTCTTGTGATTACTCTGGTGAGACATTACTGTTCTGCTCTGAAGAAGATATTGTCAGATGAATCCTGCATTTTCTTCAGCTGGCGTGCATGCCTTTGGACTTATGGACAGAGTTCTTTGAATTGTAACTGAATTTTCAATGTTTAATCAATATGGATCTGATCTTAGCATGATCTTTTTTGTGAATGCTAGCACCATTTTGCAACTTTTTTCCATTTTAAACATTTTTCTTTCCACCTTTAGCCCTCTGCCTTATGATTTTATTGGTAAGCAAGGACCTGCTATTGTTAACTTGTTGCCATTAATGTTTATGTATATTTTGGAAGGTGTGAGACCACAAGCACAATGATCATTTTTATTTGTTTGAAACTTCAACAGAATATATATCTGCATGCTTTATGAGGTTGCTTTGATAAGAGCCCATAGGATGCCAGAAATTAAATTTTCGTTGCTGCCATGGGCGGATGATACTGCTGCTATTAGATAGAGAAAGTTTATCTGTGGCACCAAGTCACATCAGTTTCACAGAAAAAAATGACTTGTAGCATATTTTAGAAGTATGATATTTTGGTCTTTTTGGTTAGAATTGTAATACAAGAAAAGCTTGCATTCATAAGGCATTCATTCTGTTTTAAATGTTCAATATATTTATTTTGAGAGCAAGAACCTGTGATTGTAAACAGGTATGTTATGTATCTGAGTGTTGTGGTAATACTTTCATCTGCTCAGATTCTCAGCATCTTCATCTTATTAGCTACTCATTTCTTTTTTTTTTTTTTCCTTTTTTTGTCTTTTTTCGTGACCGGCAACGGATTGCAACCCTCAGTGTCGCGCCCGTACCGGACCGGACCGGCAACGGGATCGCAACCCTCAGTGTTGCGCCCGCACCTCGCTCAGCCAGTGAGCGGGAACTGGTCTGTATGTGGGATCTGAACCCTCGGCAGGAGCGCCGCCGTGCTCCCAAGCGGCGCACTGTAGCAGTGCGCCACCGGGCCGGCCCAGCTACTCATTTCTTTGTGTATTCATTCTCTTTTATTTTTACTTGTTTTTATTTTATGTTTAATATTATGGTATTCAGTTGTTTCCAGTAGCAGTCTGTTGAGCTTCTGGCATGTACTACTAAGTGCAGACCTCCAGAGTCATTGGCTTTTCTGTATTCTACATATTTGGGGGGCAGTGCAAGTTGCCAAGAGCAACACACTGACCTGGCTGAATTGTTGCCAATGAAAACAACCTATATAGTGACTTTCTATGGTATCGGTAAGAAGCCATTGCTCAGGTTCCAAGATATGTTCATCTTTCACAAATTTTGTGTATTTCAAATATTTTTATAAATGTTTCTTCTTCCCTACCAGAGTGTCATGATAAGCCATTGTCAGTCATTTATGCTCTCATTAAAATGTTTAAATCCTATGTCAACTTCAGGCCTATATAACTACATTTGGTAGGATTAACATTTCATGCAGCAAATGTGGCTTAATTGAAAACTTACTTAGAGAGCTATAAGGAATTAGGTAATAGAATAAAGGAACAATGATTTTTTCTCTTCTGCCTTCGTTTGTCCCTTTTCCCTCACCTTAGTCCCAGGACCTTATGAAACAGGTAATTGAATAAGTGCTAGGTTTATGTAGGCAAAACACAGAAGTATTTTTCCCCCAATTCTTTTGAATTTAATTTGCCCAGTATAGCCGGGTACCAGATTACTCAATCCTTGTGTTTTACAGTTTTGAGCATTCATAGGTGTCAATCCCAACCACAGAGAATCTGTCAAGAAAAAAACATTCAGACTCTTCAAAATAGGCATTTTGCAGTTTGTTTAATAACTTCTAAACTTGAATTCATCGGTTGTCATTAATTCACTGTGTGGACATGGTACTCTGGAATTTGCCTGAGTACCATTGTCATTCTGCTCAACCAGGGTCAATTTCCTGACAGGGACACTGCTGTGTGCAAGCTCTTTAAAAGATGGATTGGATTTTCTTGGCATTATCAGCACTTACGGTATTTAGTCTACTTATATTTTGACTTTTAAAATTAGTAAAACTTTTTAACTTGTCACAGAACTCCTAGAACAACAATACAGGGAACCATTGTCCCTTTTCCCCAACTTATGATTTTTCCAGTCACTTTTTGCTGTTGCTCCGAAGACCAGTGAGTTTTGGAGCATATCTCCATGTTATGCCAAAGGCTGGGCTCTTCAGCCTGTTACTGTTCTGCAGCTGCCACTAGCCTCACAGGCACAGGAAATGCACTGTTAACTCGTGTAGGAGCATATGCTAAGGGCACCCAAGAAAGTGCCAATAAAATCACAAAATAAGAAAATTACAAAAAAGATACTAACCTTGGCCATAAGTTTTTTAGGGAGGCTTCAGGATATTTGAGAGTATGAAGCAAGGCAGCTTTCCCACATTCATAAATGGGATCGTAAATCTCTAGAGGCCATTTGTTCCTCAAAGTAGTTTATCTCGTTTTTAAATTGAAGCTAATTTTAAAAATAGGCTTTTTCTGCTCAAAATTCATTATACTGTTAGTATTTTGCTGAAATATATGCTAACAACTGTTAAGCAAGGGAAACTGAATGAAGATTTAATCACATGGATTCTGTTAGCAGTAATCTGCATTCTGTGAAAGAGGTCCTTTCCTGTGATATAGGCATGAAGCGGTGCCAATAAGCATGGAGTGAAATGTTAACTTTATTGATCTGGGTTCAGCATTTCCAGTGCAGCATTATCAGTGGGCCTTTAAAAATACTTTGTGAATACATTAGCTTTCACTTTTGTTATTAAATTATAGCAGTTTCATTATAGAGAACAAGTTTGCCTTGATTTTGTTTAAAATGACTTCCGCTCAGCACCCAGAAGATAAAATTGACATATTTTTATAATATAAGCATACTTTTTTTGTACATTGTGTTCATTCTTGAATAAAGTGAGTTCAGTGTTGGCTTGTAGATATTTAAAAGAAAGTATTGATTTTGATTTAATAAATGTTTTCTTTCAATCCTGGCTTGGTTTTTCTTTAGTTTTTCTCTTCTTTCAAGGAATTATTTGCCAGAATTCACTTAGAGCACCTTTTTAGCATTTTTATCTATTCAGTTATGACTCCTATTATGCAAAAACAATAAATCACTTTTCTCTTTAAAAGAGGGTTTAAATTTCTGTAGTTGTAATCTTTAACTTCACAGTTTACCTTATAATTCAACAAATGCCAAATCAGAATGAAACTTAAATGTTTGGAAATAGGAGTTCTTATAAAAATTATATAAGGTAGGGTGAGATGGCTATTCAGCAGAGATAGGTAAGAAATAGAAATGAGGTGGAGAAGTTTTTTAAAAATATTAATATTCCATTTCTTCAAGTTTTTATTGCTTGTCAGCCATAAATGATACTTGATTTTTAACAAAGGTACCAACTACCTACTCAGTGTTCCATGCCGAAGCATCTTGTCCTCACAGTATATATAAGATTTAAATAAAGTGAAATAAAATTAGGAGTTCTGTTTCTCATACTAGCCACATTTCAAGTGCTTAATAGTGGCATGTAGCTATCAACTACTGTGTATTAGAAAGTTATAGAACATTTCCATTATTACAGAAAGTTTCGGGAGATTAGAATTTGCTCCTAAAGTAATTTAGGATAGTGGTTCCCATAGTGGGTGATTTTGATCCCGAAGGGAACATTTGGCAATGTCAGGACACATTTTTGGTTGTCACAACTTGAGGAAGGGGTGATATGGAATCTGGGAGGTGGAAACTAGGAATGTGGCTGGACATCCTGGGGTGCACAGGACAGCACCCACACAGATTGATTTGGCCCAAAAAGTCATAGTGTCATGCCTGAGCCCTGGTTTAGGACAAAGAAGACCTGTATGTCAGCATACTCACCAAATACGTTCTGTTAGGGACTCTTGGTTGCATTAGACCATGTGCCTAGGTCAGTGAGGCATTTTATTGGTCTGATACTGAGAATAGATCAGTTAGGTTTAGCTGCATCAGGAGACTTGCCACACCGTATACTAAAAATAGAAAAGTCAATAAGAAAAATATTAGGAAAGAGTATTTCAAAAAGATTTTGATAACTTTTGTTCTTATCTCATGTTCAAAGACTCTAAAAGGAAAGTGGCTTAAAATTACGTTCTTTGCAAAATAAAATTCTGACAATCCAGTAAGGTGTCCCAATTATGAAAAAAGTCTGAGGAAACTGATGTTGGTATATCAAGAACTCTATTTTGAGCTCTTTGTTTTCAAGGACACGCATAAAATGTCAATGGAAGGGCACAGAGCTGTTGGAGTGAGAGTACTGAAGCAAGGTTGAGATCTAAAACCTCCTGGGCTATAGACAAACTTTAAAAAGTTTCTCTTAGCATGTATTTCTGTGAATTCCCTCTTTCCCCATGGTTATTTGATATTTTGAACCTTGCTTATGGGGCAAGATGACATTATTTACATAAACGTAAAGCTGTTTTCCAGTCAGCCTGGAGCTGCAGACTTTGCTACAAGACACTGTACTGTCCAGACCCTGAGAAACCAAGGAAGACATCAATAAAGCTGTGCTGAGTCCACCCTCCAGCAGGAGCATGAGGTAACAACGAGGACAGAACAGAAGCCAGGAGCCTTAGCAAGACATTGGCACCTGGCTTCTTGCACATAGTCCCTGCAGCTCACATCTCCCCCTCCTTAAAAGCCCTCAGTAAACCTGAGTCTTTGAGACAGCTTTAGTCTGGCCGTTCTCCTTCCGGTTTACCAGAGAGGTGGGTCAGCCTAACAACTTTCCTCAGGTCACTGATATTCCTAACTAAAAGCTGACTTCCATTTTTACCAATATTTGACTTTTGAATCATTTGGGGTTTGTTTTGGTTTGAGGCAGGCAGCTGGACCTTTGTTTGGTTAGAAGATTTTGGCGAGCCTAAGCTGGGAGCTCAGTGCCCCGGGGTAAGAGATTTTGGCACATCAAGCCTGGGTATTTTGGGGCAAGCAGCTGGACTTGGGCCCGGTATCATACCCACAAGAAGTAAGACAAATCTGTAAAACATAGAGACGTAATCTGTAATTTGCTAAAACTCGTGAAAATGAAAAAAAATATACAAAATTGACAAGAAGGAAATTATATGCCCTCTGCTTAAAGTACACCATTAGCAGGAAAGTGATTGAAAGTTTACCTTGTATTTGTTGTCTCCATCCAAATGGGCCAGTAAGCAAGAATTGAAACCATTAAATGACTCAACTTAATCTGACTTTTTATATTTGCTTCCTTAACTTTTCCTTTTTATGATGTTTCCCATATGTTTCCCAGACTGTAAGAGCTTGGTGGTGGTGGTGGTTGTTAATACCTTCTCCTAGATACATGCATCCTCTAGGTTCTTTTTGACCCTTACCCTCATTCTCTTAATGCCAATCATCGTAATAGTTTTCTATCTAGCCTGCCTTTGATGTCCAGAAGAAAACAAAATCTTTGTGTTTACCAGAAAAAAATTACTCCCTGAATGAGAAGATTCAAGGGCCTGCTGCCACCAAGGAAAAAAAAAGTGT